AGAAGAGGCTGCATAGAGGAGCAGGGGGTGAGGCAGGAGAGGCTGCAGGAGGAGCAGGGGGTGAGGCAGGAGAGAAGAGGTTGCAAATGGGAGCAGAGGATTCGAGTGAAGAGGTTGCAGGGAAACGTACAGGAACGGAGGGGAAAAGAAGCTGCAGGGAGGAGCAGAGGGAAGAAGCAACTGCAGAGAGAAGCAGAGGGTAGAAAGGTTGCAGGGAGGAGAAGAAGAGGAGCAAGGAGGTTACAGGGAGGAGAAGAAGAGGAGCAAGGAGGTTACAGGGAGAGAGAAGAAGAGGAGCAAGGAGGTTACAGGGAGGAGAAGAGGAGGAGCAAGGGGTTGCAGGGAGGAGAAGAGGAGGAGCAAGGAGGTTGCAGGGAGGAGAAGAGGAGGGAGCAAGGAGGTTGCAGGGAGGAAAGAGAGGAGCAAGGAGGAGAAGAGGATGATGGGGGAAGAGGCTGTGGGGAGGAGCTAAGAGGTTGCAGGGAGGAGCAGACGGGAGAAGAGGCTGTGGGGAGGGTTGAGGAGGAGGACGGAGAAGGGGGAGGAGGGGGAGGGCAGGTGATTTGGGGAAAAAGACCAGGGAAGTAAATCGTCTTTTGTTCCCCTACACCTAAATGAGCAATTTATCTAATTTTGGAGTTGCCTGGAGTTGAGTTTCAACACTTCTGCTGCCAAGTCCATTCATCGTAGAGACCTGACTGGGGGGGGGACACACCACACTATGGGGTTGATTTACTAAAACGGTAGCACGGAGAATCAGGTGCAGCCATGCATGGGAGCCAATCAGCTTCTAACTTCAGCTTGTTCAATTAAGCCTTGACAATAAACCTGGAAGCTGTGTGTATATTTGACAAGCTGACTTCTTTCAGTCAGATAGACAGATTGCTTCCAAACCCCCTGCTCCCCCTCCATGTATCCCTGGCTGTACATGTCCAGGACTGGCATGGCGATGGCCGCAGGGAAGGGGGTGGGGGGTGGAGCTGAGCAGACATGCATCTGCTCTCCTCCCCTTCTTTTTGCTGTAATTGACGTGTAAAATGTCACTTCTGGGTCCCTTTTCACTTTCTCTAGCCAACTTGGCCAGGAAAGAGTCTAATGCAGTGTGATCTGTACCGCATTAGATTCAGTGGAGCCCAGAGGAGACATCCAGGTTCTTTTAGACTCCGGATGTCTCATTAAGGAGAACCTGTCACCAGAAAAAAAACAAAAACAAAAAACCCCAAAAAAACTTAAAAATAGTAAAAAAATTAAAGTTACACCCAAGCACATAAACCCCCCCTCCCCCCAAAAAAATGGAAGCCCCCCTCCTCCCATATACACACATATGAACATAAACGAGTGTCAGGGGCGCCTACACACAAGAGCTGAATGCGATAATCGTGTTACATATCCCCGCAATAATTCCCTTTTGCACGAATATTGTGTAAAGTAAATACAATTGGAACTAACGCCATTTTATTCCCCAGAGTGTTTGCTTTCAGAAAATAGAAAAGGTTTTGGAAGTTTTATGCAATCTTCAGGCCTAAAATATTTTTTTTTTTAAACATGTGCACAAAACCGCAAAAAAGGCTCTGGCAGCCAAAGGTTAACATACGTGTAAAAGTCCTTCTATCACTACATAAGAATCTCATCTGCAGTCTACAGGCGGCCATACATTGTTAGTTATTTTTCTTTTCATTCAGCCAGCGGGCTGTCACACAACATGGATGGAGGAATTCTCCTCCTTATCGGGACATTTTATCCTGGTAGTGGAACACGCCACTGTCAGAATACCCTGATCAGGAGCTGCTTATCAACAAACGTTTTCCAGCATGTTCCTTTGACAAAAGTCGATTGAATGGAAGACTTGTGTTGAGAAGGGATGGCCACACACACTGATCAAAAATGGGCGGATCCTTGCTGAAACAGCTGAATTTTGATTGGTGCATGGTCAGCTTACTGCACATTTTCACTATGCAAATTGGGCTTTTACCTTTTTTTCCTTTAATGAGAAACCTGCAGCCCGCCCCCAATGCATGATACTCGCCCAGGCGAATGACATGCACTTTGGTTGCTGTGATTCCTGGATATGCAGATCACATATCTCAGGAGGCACAGTCCTTCACCGAGAAAGAAGCAGGGGGGCGGGCTTAGTGGTGCGACATCGGGAGAGCCGCTGGCTGAACTTGGAGGAGCTGGCAGCTTGCAGATGGTGTCACAGGAGAGAATGGGAGCATAGGACGGAATACGGGGAGGGGGCAAAGAGAGGCGGATCTCAGCAGGACAATGCTTGATCCGGTGGGTGAATACCTTAAAGTGACTGCAAACATTCCTTAACCACTTGAGCTCCTGAGGATTTACCCCCCTTAATGACCACGCCTTTTTTTGCTGTTTGGCGCCGCACTAATTCAAATGATAATTGCGCGGTCATGCAATGCTGTACCCAAACGAAATTTACGTACTTTTTTCACACAAATAGAGCTTTCTTTCGGTGGTATTTTATCACCTGTGCGCTTTTTATATTTCACGCTATAAACAAAAAAAAACACAAAAATTTTGAAAAAAAAACAATATTTTCTACTTTCAGCTATAAAAAAATATATCGTAAACTCAAAGTTGGGGGGGCGATCAAGGGGTTAAATGGGATTACTGGTGTACTAGCGGGCAATCTGGTGCTATCTGGGAGGGGCGCTAACACTATTTGAAGTCGCCAGCGACACTGATACAGTGATCAGTAAAAATCTGTTCACTGATCAATGACACTGGTGACAGGGCAGTGAAGGGGTTAACTGAGGGGGGGGCGATCAGGGGGTTAAATGTGTCCTAGAGTGTTCTGTCTGTGTAGTGCTTTTGTACGCACAGTTTTTCTGTCTTCTTCTCTCTCTGGGATGAATGTGTCCAGGCAGAGAAGAATGACATCATATCCTGTCCTGTGTAAATGTCATCACAGGATAGGACAGGGACCGATCATCTGATTTCAGCCAGACATCACAGGCTGAAACCGGATGATTGATCCCTCCGGGATCAAATCGTGACACCCCGCGGGTCGGCAGGAGCGCACGCCCCCTGCCCGCGAAAACCTCGGGAGGACGTTTTAAAACGTGCTTTTGCGCAGCCGTTGCCGCCCTGCCACTGTTTTAATGCAGTGGCTGGGCGGCAAGAGGTTCATTAAATCAGAGCTCCACCCAAAAGGAGAAGCTCCGCTTTAAGGCCCCAGGTCCTGTTTATGAATTGAAGCTTTTAGAGAGGAGGGGGGAGCAGATACCAGATTTTGACAAGTACCCGCTCTCACTTCCGCTCCGACCGCTTAGGCAATCGGAAGTTCTCCCCCTCTTCTGGGAGACGTGAAAGGTCCCAGAAGACTGCCAGACCATTCACAGTGTGCAGCACTGCTCAGGCATGCTCAGTGGGCACCCGGCTGTGAAGCCACAAGCTGTCACAGCTGGATGCCCATAGTAAAGATGCCGGCGCAGCTTTGGAACTCAGGACAGGCGAGTGGCTGTTTATTAAAAGTCAGCAGCTACAGTTTTTTTTTTTTTTTTTGTTTTTTTTTTTTACACCAGACATATTTTTCTGGTCTGTACAATAGTTTTGCACAGTGCAGCCCCGATATTCCTCTTCTCTGGTCCCCCCCGCCAGAGCTCCTGGCTCCTCTCCCCACCGAGTGCTCAAAAAGCAAGCAGTTTGCTATGGGGGCGCTCGTGCATGCTTGCTCCCAAACTGGCTGTGTGTGTCCATAAAAACACCCAGAGCACAGATCCATCCTAACTGGCTGTGACTGACAGTAGCAGGAGCCAGTGGCTTAGTGCAGGGGAGTCAAACTGTGGCCCTTCAGCTGTTGCAGAACTACAAGTCCCATCATGCTCCTGCCTCTGAGAGTTATGCTTGTAACTGACAGCCTTGCAATGCCTCATGGAACTGTCGGAGGGCCACAGTTTGAAACACCTGGCTTAGTGTCCAAACCAATGAGGAGGGAGAAACCAGAGAGAGCACATCGCTGGATCAGGATCAGGCAAGTAGAAGGCAGGCTGCACACTGAAGGTTTTTAACTTTCATGCATAGAAAATGTGAAGGTAAAAAAACTTCCGTGTGTAGCAGCCCCCCTAACACCTGAACCCCATCCTGATCCAGTGATGTCCACAAGAGCCTCGGGTTCTCTGGGGACTCTTACTCCTGATTACCTGAGGCAGCAGTGGGAGCCACTGGCTCGTGCCCCTGTCAATCACAGCCAGTGAGCCAATCAGGGAGGAAGGGGGCAGGGACGAGCCACGGCTGTAAATGAATGGAAGCTGCTTGCTGTGGTGGCACCCGACAGGAGGGAGGGGCCTGAAGTGCGAGTGGGGGAGCGGAGAAGAGGAGGAGCAGGTGCAAAACCACTGCATAGAGCAGGTAAGAATTAGAAAAAAAAGATAAAAGGTAAAACGCAAATGTGCGGCCTCCTGGTGTCTGGGCCTAGACGCCGAGCGGCCGCAAATTTGCGTTCTATATTAAAAAGAGAACATATGTGCTGAGAGCGCGCACCCTGCGCTCTCCCAGCACACATGTCCTGTACTCACGGAGAGGTCCCGCTCTCCTCTTACGATCGGGACCTTTCCCGATCATGTGACCGCTGTGATGGCGTGTCAAGGCGGTCACATGACCCTAAACCCTGCCTCCCGAAACCCTTAAAGGGCCGGGAGGGGGCCGGCATGAAGGTTAACTGTGCAGGATCTGCAACCAGGGGTAAAAAAAATAAATAAATGTTATAATTTATATATATATATATATATATATATATATATATATATATATATATATATATATATAATTTTTTTTTTTTTTGAGGGAAGATCTGCTTAAAGGACCACTGTCTGTGTTCTTTGAATGCAACTGATGAGCTCCATATCCAATGCAACACCTCATTAATGAAAAGCCACACAGCTAAGCAATCATAAAAAAGTACTACACTTTAAAAAAAAAAAAAAAAAAAAAAAAAAAAAAGGAAAATCAATAGTGGTCTATAGCAGAAACGTTCAGTCCATTTAAACTCCCAGTATCAAGAAGGCAAAAACACAGGCGCTTGAAAAGCCATAATTCCGGTACCCACCATCGTCATCGTCGTCTTCATCATCTAAACCCTCCAGATAGGCTTCAGTATCGGAGTCAGGGGCTTCCTTGTCATCTCGGTCGTACCCATCCAGGTAAGTGAGCTGAGGCAGTAACTTGAAGACGTTTTCTCGATACTCGTTGAGGTTGGTGACCACACAGTTAAACAGGTCTAAGCTCTTTAAGCTCCCTAATTTTTTCTGCAGGTGGGAAAAAATGAAGCAGAACACAAGGTGGAAAATTACCAACATAATACGCAAAGATCGGGGCGCAGCACATTCAGAATGCTCCCCTTTATTAGACTGCTGTACACTGAAAAAAAAATAAACTGGTTTCCTCACCAGAGGTTCTATTGTGCTCAGATCTTTTATTTTGTTTCCGCTCAGGTTGAGATGTGTGAGGTTTGGACATTTTTCTGCCAGTACTTCCAGTCCGCCCGAGATGTTGTTATCACTCAACTCCAGCTACAACCAAAGCAAAATCATCATTAGTCAACAATACGCCGTACTCATAGTGTACATAGTGTATAAAAGGTGGCCATACACTATGCCAGGGGTAGGCAACCTGGGGCTCTCTAACTGTTGTGGAACTAAATTTCCCATGTGCAGGGCTTGAAATTTCCACTCGCCTGCTCGCCAATGGCGAGTGGAAATTATGGTGGGGGCAATTGTGTCCCCTAGGGCAGTCTTGCTGAGCAGGCTCGGAGCTCAGGCCGGATCTGTCATTGGCACTGGGAGCCGTCAGACTGCTCAATAACTGAGCGCAGTGAAAGCAAAGCAAGGAGCGTGTGCTGTGCTCTCTGCCTCCCCCTAGAGTGCAGTACCCGGCTCCGTGAGTGAACAACGAAGTACTGCAACTTTTTATGGGGGGAGGTGTATGTTTACGTGTGTGTGTGTGTGTCTGTGTATGCATGTACAATTGTACATGTGTCTGTGTGTATCTGTACATGTATGTGTGTGTATGTACATGTATGTGTGTGTATGTACATGTGTGTATGTACGTACATGTGTCTGTGCGTGTGTATTTCTGTGTATGTACATGTATCTGTGTGTATGCGTCTGTACGTGCCTGTGTGTGTGTACATGTGTCTCTGTGCGTGTGTGTACATGTTTCAGTATGTGTATGTACATGTCTGTGTGTGTGTACAGGTGTCTCGGTTTGTGTGCGTTTGTTGTTGGCGAGTAACTCTAAGGCCTGGCTAGTAGCTCACGACTTGAAATTTTAAGCCCTGCCCATGAGGCATTGCAAAGATTACAAAACTGACAGTTACAGCTATGACTTGCAGAGGCATGATGGAACTTGTAGTCCTGCGGCTCTCAGGTTGCCAACACCTGCACTGTGCAATCTGAGTGTACAATTTCCTTTAGATTTTCCAGAACTATGGAATAGGTGGACCCACCTATCTACCCCAATCACTTTGTATCCAATTAGACAAGCCCTTGCGCTACATAGCTGATGCTAGATCTAAAGAAGATTGTACAATCAGATTGTATAGTGTTATGTGAAGGTTACAGAACACAGTTCTCCTGTTTTCAATACTACAGCTCTATCCACATAGGCTGTTATCTGTTCACTCAGCACACTGCCAAATGAAGGATCTATGCAAGATGAAAGTTAAGGTAGAAAAATAAAAATCGATGCCTGTCTGTTTAGGGTCCTTTCACACGGGGCGGACCCATTTAGCGTAACGACTTCCTTAGTGGGAGATCTCTCGTCTGATCCCCGCTAAGCAAGCGGATGACACTGCTACAGAGCAGCTTACTGTCCTCAATGGATGGTTAGATGGAAACGGACCACCTTTCCATTTCCATCTAATGGATGGAAGGGGAACTGGATCCATCTCTTTTTTGAGGGTTGGATCAGATTGGATGTCTGTTTACACTCGCTGCTCCATAGAGGAGAATGGAGGTTCAGATCAAGTCCGTCTGAAAAACAAGCAGGCGGAGCTGATTGTAACGTCCGTGGGAAAGGGGCCTTAGTGAGATCAGTGATTACGGATTGATTGCATTTCATTTAATAGTTGAGCATCTGGAAGTGGGTGGGAGGTAGAAGGGTAGATGATGCAGGGTGTGTGCTAATGAGGAGGTCGGCTGGTCAATTCCTTCCTGTGCCATGACCTAAAATTTCTGCAGGAAATAAGGCAGAAGTAATGGAGAAGCTTTTTGTACAACCATCAGGACACTGACAAAAGGTGGGTTGAAAAAAATGGAAAGCTTTTGAATTTCTGCAAAAGAAGTACATTAATGCTATATAGGGGAGCTGGAATTCAGAAAAAAATTAAATAATAAAAACAAAGGTTATCCTTTAACCCCTGATCTAGGAGGGTATATGGCCTAGTATACAAGAAGTTAAAAAACAAGATCATGGATGTTACTGCAGCCAAGAGATCGGTGTTTATTAACCACTTCCCCGCCACCTTTTAGCAGATATACTGCTACAGGGCAGCAGGAGTGCGCACAATCACTATAATATATATATACATACACGGTGTGCTGTATCCCTGGGACACAGCGGATCACTAATCACTGTAAAGAGCCGATGACATCGGCTCCGTCATGTGATCAGCTGTGTCCAATCACAGCTGATCACATGTAAATAGGAAATACCGGTTATTGGCAGTCCTCTCCTCCTGCTGATAGCTTGTCAGGAGAGCCGGAAATCAGCAGTCCTCAGAGGGGACATCTACATTGATCAGTGTATCCCCATCAGTGCCACCTGTCAGTGCCCATCAGTGCCACCTGTAAGTGCCCATCAATGCTACATATGAGTGCCCACCAGAGGTGCCAGTCAGTGCCACCTACCAGTGCCATATATGAGTGCTGCCTTTCAGTGCCCATCACTGATGCTTGTCCATGCACATCCGTGCCATCAGTGCCGCCTTATCAGTGTCCTTCATTGCAGCCTCATTAGCGCACTTCAGCGAAGGAGAAAAATTACTTGTTTACAACATTTTATAGCAGAAACCAAACTTTGTTTGGGTGCAGTGTTGCATGACTGCGCAACTGTCATTCAAAATGCGACAGCGTGGAAAGCTGAAAATTGGCCTGGGCAGGAAGGGGGTAAACGTGCCCTGTAGGCAAGGGGTTAATAGCAAAAAGTCAAAATTGTTGGGCCTTTTTTTTTTTTTTTCAATAGAGCAGCAAAAAAAAGAGAAAAGCACAGGAAAGAAAGCTCAATTCGTGGGGAAAAAAAAAAAAAAAAAAAAAGGATGTAAATTTCATTTAGGTGCAGCGTTGCATGACCGCGCAACAAATGGAAGGGAAGGGGGGAAAATCCTCTGGAGGGCAAGGGGTTAAAGTGGTGGAACACTTTCTGGTTCTGGCTGCTTTAGTGTATTGTTTATTTACTTATTTTTTTTGGCAGTGCATAAGACTCCTTCCATTGTTTATGACCGAAGTGCCTGCCTTCCGGCATCTTAAAGGGACGAGAGGCACCAGCAGGAAAGGGTTAATGGAAGTGGAAAGGTAAAAAAAAAAAAAAAAAAAAAAAAAAAAGGCTAGCAAAAAAACATCTATTCTCAGCAGAGCTGAAGAAAAGATGTCCAGTCCTCCTAGAATACTAGCAAATGTCATTCTGCGTAGAGGAGGGGTTGGCTGCCAGCGTTCAATGTTCTGTAAATGGTAGTATAACCTGACCGTATCAAATTGCCTGCGTACCTCAATGGACTAGAACAGCCTTTCTCAACCAGGGTGCCCAGGCACCCTGGGGTGCTTTGAGGTTTCGTAAGGGGTGCCTTGCCAAAATGTCTAAAAATTGGCCAAAACTTGTATACAAGCCAGGAGGTGGAACAAGCCGGCCTTTTAGTTACACAAAGCCACAGGTCTTCACTGTGCACCATTATGACCTCCTAGTCGCCAGCGTCCTGACAACCAATGACATCATTGGTTGATAAGGAGGATGTCAGCTGCCTGCACAGCATCCTAGTTTGACCCTCCCCCGCCCCTCTCCATCAGTGCTGGGGTCACATTAGCTCAGTAATGGAAAGAAACTGAAGGGAAGAGAAACACTGGCAAACTAGTCAGTACCAGTGTGCAAAAGTGTATTTGCTTTGGAAGGATAAATCCCCTCTAATGTTGGGTGTCCTCCATGTGTGGATGTTGCTGCGTTATAGAAAACTATTAGAATAGTTGTTCACATTTTAGAAAGGGGTGCCTCAAGGCTGTCCATTTAAAAATTGACAGTCCCGAGGCACCCTTTCTAATGATGGACATTCCCGAGGCACCCTTTCTAACGATGGACATTCCCGAGGCACCCTTTCTAACGATGGACATTCCCGAGGCACCCTTTCTAACGATGGACACTCCCGAGGCACCCTAACGATGGACACTTCCCGAGGCACCCTAACGATGGACACTCCCGAGGCACCCTTTCTAACGATGGACATTCCCGAGGCACCCTTTCTAACAATGGACATTCCCGAGGCACCCTAACGATGGACACTCCCGAGGCACCCTAACGATGGACACTCCCGAGGCACCCTAACGATGGACACTCCCGAGGCACCCTAACGATGGACACTCCCGAGGCACCCTAACGATGGACACTCCCGAGGCACCCTAACGATGGACACTCCCGAGGCACCCTAACGATGGACACTCCCGAGGCACCCTAACGATGGACACTCCCGAGGCACCCTAACGATGGACACTCCCGAGGCACCCTAACGATGGACACTCCCGAGGCACCCTAACGATGGACACTCCCGAGGCACCCTAACGATGGACACTCCCGAGGCACCCTAACGATGGACACTCCCGAGGCACCCTTTCTAATGATGGACACTCCCGAGGCACCCTAAATGATGGACAGTCCCGAGGCACCCTAATGATGGACATTCCCGAGGCACCCTAACGAGGACACTCCCGAGGCACCCTAACGATCTAATGGCACCCTAACGATGGACACTCCCGAGGCACCCTAATGATGGACATTCCGAGAGGCACCCTTTCTAATGATGGACACTCCCTGAGGCACCCTAACGATGGACATTCCCGAGGCACCCTAACGATGGACATTCCTGAGGCACCCTTTCTAATGATGGACATTCCTGAGGCACCCTTTCTAATGATGGACAGTCCTGAGGCACCCTTTCTAATGACGGACATTCCTGAGGCACCCTTTCTAATTGACGGACATTCCTGAGGCACCCTTTCTAATGATGGACATTCCTGAGGCACCCTTTCTAATGATGGACAGTCCCGAGGCACCCTTTCTAATGATGGACAGCCCAAGACTGTCCATCAATGATGAACAGGGTCCCAGGAATGTCCCTCATTAAAAGGCTGCCTCAGGAACTGTCCATCATTAGAAAGGGTGCCTTGACTGAGAAACACTGGACTAGAAAAATACATTCCAGTCTAGTAATTGGGCACAATAGGTTATTTCTATAGGAAGAATATGTGAACAATTGCCGCCACCTACCTGCAGCTGTAACCCACCACTGTCATCAGACATTTTGTAACTGTCCTTAGCAAAAAGTACAATTTTTACAATTTCAAATCTGCAATCAAAACAACTAATCTGTGCATGGTTTGAGACCAGCAACATATGGGACTCCCCCATGGAACAACCAGGACTTGAAAGAAAATCTCTGTTACTAATTATAGGTGGCTTCCTTCTCTACATAGGAAAGGATATCCTTTGCAGTGCGGGGACCACATGAAAAGGTTGGCAATGAAATGTAACAAACGTTCAGCAAGTCCCAAATTTAGACAAGAAGGAAATCTTTCACCAGTGGTAGCTAATAAGAGATCTCTGCATACATTGCATATCTCTGCAAAGCGCTGAGCAAACTGTTGGCGCTATATAAATCCTGTATAATAATGACTGCTTGGGGGCAGGAAAATATAAAGGGCATCGGCAGTCGTCTGATTACCTTTTTCAATTTGTTTAGCTTTGGTAAATTTGCAACAGAGCTGAGACAGACGTTGATTGTGCTTAGAAATTCCAGTTCTTCAAATTCGTCTGTCAGTCCCTCGATTTTTCCTTCTTTGGACCGGCAGTTGTCCAGGACCAGCTCTTTGACCTGGAAGGAAACAAGAGAAACTCAATTAGGAACGTGTGCTGTAGGAGTTGGCTGAACCGAACACATCAGGCTTGGGACAACAAAGATCCAGAATAGGTTCTTACAGGTACTTGGCTAATCCATCGTCAACAACGTTCATACAACATACAAGGGTAATACTTCTGCATGTGTTTTGGGGGCGCTCCCGTTCATCTCTAGGGGTTCATTTACACTTGCTTTCACTATGACGCACATTAAAGTGCTTAGCAATTCAACATGCTTTTTTGATGTATTTTTGATGCATCGGTGATGCTTTTATGAAGCTTGGCAAATGCCCTGTGTATGCGGATTTTCTATTTCTTTTAAAGGAGAACCCCGGCTCAGCAGATCTTCAATTTATTAGTACCTTCAATCAGCAGATCTGCTCAGTAGTAACCCCACCACGAGCTCTGCTGAATCCTCCGCTCAGTGGCAACCCCCAGCTCTGCTGATCCCCCCCGCTCGGTGGCAACCCCCAGCTCTGCTGATCCCCCCCCCCCCCCAGCTCAGTGGCCGCCCCCAGCTCTGTTGACCTCCCGCACAGCGGCAACCCCCAGCTCTGATGATCCCCCGCTCAGCGGCAACCCCCAAGCTCTGCTGATCCCCCGCTCAGCGGCAACCCCCAAGCTCTGCTGATCCCCCGCTCAGCGGCAACCCCCAAGCTCTGCTGATCCCCCGCTCAGCGGCAACCCCCAAGCTCTGCTGATCCCCCGCTCAGCGGCAACCCCCAAGCTCTGCTGATCCCCCGCTCAGCGGCAACCCCCAAGCTCTGCTGATCCCCCGCTCAGCGGCAACCCCCAAGCTCTGCTGATCCCCCCCCTCAGCGGCAACCTCCAGCTCTGCTGATCCCCCGCTTAGTAGCAACCCCCAAGCTCTGCTGATCCCCCCGCTCAGTGGCAACCCCCAGCTCTGCTGATCCCCCGCTCAGTGGCAACCCCCAGCTCTGCTGATCCCCCGCTTAGTAGCAACCCCCAGCTCTGCTGATCCCCCGCTCAGTGGCAACCCCCAGCTCTGCTGATCCCCCCGCTCAGTGGCAACCCCCAGCTCTGCTGATCCCCCACTCAGTGGCAACCCCCAGCTCTTCTCATTCCCTGCTTAGTAGTCACCCCAAGTGCTGCTGATCCTCCTCTCTCTCCGGTCCGCGCTCACCACCCACTATATTTCTCCCTTGCTGCACACCCTGTGTGACATTGCTAGTTTCTCCTGCTCTGCTGATCCTCTGCCACTCAGTCCTCTCTCTGTAGCGTTCCCATGTTGCACACCACACAGGCCGTCTGCTAGTTGCTCTGCCCCAGTCTGGATCCTGCTAACCTTCCTGCTGCTCCACGCTGTACAACCAGTGTGACACCTGCACCAAACACTCCCACAGTATGTACACATGAACCAGAAGCAACTGCTGATGACATCTTTCCAGTTCACTTGTTGGCTTCCCAGTGCATCCTGGGATATCTCATACCTGCAATACCTCCAAAACAAACTGAATAAAAGCCCTCAAAAGGTGCTGTTAGCCAGCTTTGTCATAGACTTGAAGCACCAAGAAAGTGAGATGGGGTATATTTTTGAAGCAAAGCTAACACAACGTGTGAACAGGACTGTAAGGTAACCATTTTATTTAGTGACAGCTGCTTTGACTGGCATTCAGAGTGCTTTAAAAAAAAAAAAAAAAAAAAAGTGTGTCCAATGCCACCATTTTGAAGGAAGTGTAAACAAAAGGCCTAATGTACGCCCACCGCATCATAATGCGTACACCAAAAAAATGTGTACTCGGGTGCCTTAGAAAAAAAAAAAAAAAGGGTCAGTGTACATCTTGTAATGCGTGGGTGCTCATTGAAGACCCCTAGCAAATAAATGTGCACAGATGCGACACGTTGACGAATCAAGCAGCTCACGTCAACCCAGGTTTATTACCACAGGCACAGGAGGTGCATAAAGACCCCAAGCTGCTGGAAACACCATTTACAAATCACCTACATCCTAAACCAGAGCAAATAAACAGAAATTATTATAATTTCATTATTTATGAAGAGAGAGAGTTCTCTCTCCACTAGCTGCAACGCTCTCTGGTTACAGGCGTCCTACTACATGGAGCCCGAGATTAATACTGGAGGGGACATGAAACACAAAACACAGATTTATCTGCTACACAAAGTATTCTTTGGGCAATATCAAGTCTCAGTAATACTGGTGAAGAAAAGGAAAGGACATCTGTCAAACAGCACAACGTTCCTTCGCTCTGATCAGATGGAAACATCAGCCTAAAATATTAAACAGCACCAACTGCACGGAGAGCGCTTCCCAGAGACGCTCACAGCACCCGGACACTAGAACAGCAATGGGCAAACTACGGCCCGGAGGACCTTTTAATCCGGCCCGTGGAGCGTGATACTGTCAGGATGGCTGTCAGGATGTGTGTAGGCGGGGCAGCGTGACGAACATGAGGGGAGCTAGGCTCCTCTCACAGTCCGCCCTGAAGACCGGAACGGAGCGGGAACACGGCGAGAGGAACGTGCGGAGCAAAGGTAAGTAAATTGACACAGGGGGGACTTAATATGGGGGATGAATTACTATATGGGGGGATGAATTACTATAGGGGGGATGAATTACTATAGGGGGGATGAATTACTATAGGGGGGATGAATTACTATATGGGGGGATGAATTACTATAGGGGGGATGAATTACTATATGGGGATGAATTTACTATAGGGGGGATGAATTACTATAGGGGGGATGAATTACTATATGGGGGATGAATTACTATAGGGGGGATGAATTACTATGGGGGATGAATTACTATATGGGGGATGAATTACTATGGGGGGATGAATTACTATATGGGGGATGAATTACTATGCTTACTATGGGGGAATATTACTATACTTACTATGGATGACACATACACATATCATTCATCTACGCTTGGTCCGGCCCCCGGGTCCAATATATGAACCCATTGCGGCCCTCAAGTCAAAAAGTTTGCCCACCCCTGCACTAGAATATCGAACTGCACTGACGGGATGACCAGAATGAATAGTTATTACAATCTTTTGTACTTGGAAAGATTAAAAAAACAAAAAAAACACAAAACACAATGTACTTTAAACCCCTCGCCTACCGGGCACTTATACCCCCTTCCTGCCCAGGCCAATTTTTTGCGTGGTCACATTTTGAATGACAATTGAGCAGTCATGCAACACTGTACCCATATGACATTTTTAGAATTTATTTCACACAAATAGAGCTTTCTTTTATTTACTCACCACTGGGTGGTTTTTTTTTTTTTTGCGCTATAAACAAAAAAAGAGCAAAAATTTGAAAAAAGTTTTTAGTTTCTCAGAGATGTTTGATTCCTATTGCCCAACACCTGGGACATGTAGTTCCGGCTGCCGGGCAGGGCGTTTTTTTCCTCCTTTAGCCCTGCTACAGGCAAGCAGCAGGGCTCACCTGTCAGCTGATTGCTCTCACACAGTGCCAGCCTCTCTGAACCCCGCCGTGAGGTTTCCCGGGCTCTGCTTGCTCATCTGCGGGCCTGGCTCACTGTCGACTAGGGAGGAGGGAGAAGAACGGACAAGTCCACTCCCCTTCTTGTGCTGACCTGGAAGTGACGTTATGGTGTCACTTCCGGGTCCCCGTCGAGAGATTAATGCAATCCCCGGGAATGAATGTAATATGGTGCGATGTGCACAGCATTACATTCAGTGGAGCAGAGGGGAGACATGCAGGGTCTTTTTGACCTTGGATGTCTCAAAGAGAACCTGTCACCAAAAATCATGTGATGAGGAAAAAAAAAAAAAAAGTAAAAAAACTTAAATTGTAAAAAATGAAAGTTACACTGAAGCACATACCATCCCCCCCCACAAAAAAAAAAAAATTTGAGGCCCCCCACCACCACATACACGCACGTACAAACGTAAAAGCACGTGCTGGGGCGCCTACGCATGAAACCGTCAATTGCGATACATGTCACATATCGCCGCGCACGCCAGGATGAGAGCGATAATTCTAGCACCAGACCTCCTCCATACACTATACTGGTGACCTATTAGGAGCTTTAAAAGTGTTGACCTGTAGAAAATATAGGGGACTAAAGTTTGTCTCCATTTCATGAGCGCTCACAAATTTAAGGTTTGACAAGTTGGATATTTACTCGCTGCAACCTCATCTTTTATATTTTACAAAAAAATAGTGTAATTTATTGCTTTTTTGTGCCCTAAAATTAACTTACTTGTATTTCTTACTAACATTTTTCGGTAAAATTATGCAACATAAAAAATTGGACCTACCACTATTGTATTCTCTAGGGTCTCTGCTTTCAGAAAATATATCATGTTTTGGGGGTTTTATGTAATCTTCAGGCCTAAAATTATTTTTTAAACATGTGCAAAAACGGCTCTTGCGGAGAAAGGGATAAAGGCTAAGCCCTGACCCCACCCCTTTTCTGAGGAGCAGCCAATCGGTGTTCATCACACTGCAAGGTCTCTCCCCTCCGTTAGTCCCCGGGAGCGGTGCTAGAGAGAGGAGGAGATAAACAGCGCAATGTTACAAATATTACACATTTAAGTCGCCATGAAGCCCCTTTTGTTTTTGTTACAGTCCGGCTTCCCGTCCCCTACACTCCACCAAAACTGCCTTAAACTCTCCAACGACCTGCTAACCGCCAAAGCTAATGGCCACTATTCAGTGCTCCTACTCCTTGACCTCTCTGCGGCCTTCGACACAGTCGACCACCCCCTCCTCCTCAAAAAACTACACTCCCTCGGCCTCAGAGATTCTGCTCTCTCCTGGCTCTCATCCTACTTGTCACAACACTCTTTCAGCGTTACCTATAATGCTACCACCTCCCCCTCACTCCCCCCTCTCTGTTGGGGTCCCTCAAGGCTCCATCCTCGGGCCCCTTCTCTTCTCCATCTACACCTCCTCCCTTGGCCAACTCATACACTCTCACGGCTTCAACTACCACCTATATGCCGACGACACACAAAT